GTCACAGTTTTGACCTGGGCTTGACGAGTTGACCTCGGATCAGGAGATACAGTGATGAAATCTACTAACTTCATCACTTCATGTACAATAGTAGCTAAGTTTTATTGCCAATTGTAAATTTACCAATGTTAGAATATTTCGTGGTAATACAACTCTCAAAACAGTCTATCTGAAATTACACCTTCACAGTTAATTATTAAATTCATTGAATCACGTATTTAGTTTCTTGTAAATATAATTTGTATATATTCTTTATTAAACATATTAATAAATTAAGTTTTTAGTAAAAGTTATTTCAATTCTGCGACATATTTATATCATGATGATCACAGGTAACGTTTGAGAAAAGAAATCCAATTAAATAATCCTGGACCAATCAATATATTATAGATCCAAATTTGTTTAACTAATCTTTTATTATTTTTTTTCTTAAACATTTCTGGGTAATTGTCATCAATAATTATTCAGTGGAATAAATTTAACCCCACAAAAAATAATATTTCATTACTTATCCAAAATAATAAATTAAACAAATGTTTATTACACTAACTCTTACAAGGCAGGTTATTGAAGATATAAGCATGACAATTAGCTTAATATTTTCAAGTTTCGAAAATTTCATTCACTACATTTACAATTTTTGTATACACTTGATGTAAATGTTTGTTAAATAACTGTCTTTTGATTGTGAAAAGTGATCTCTCCCTCACTCCTCCTTCAAAACGTTAAAATGAATAAAAATTTACTTGGCTGAATCATGTAAGACAGGTTATTGAAGATATGAATACAATTACATATGATCAAACATGAAAAATAGCTTAAAAATTTCAAGTTCGAAATATTTCCAAAACTTAGAAAACATGTTTCTCAAAAATTATTGAACTTACCGAACCTGTTTTGGTCTTAAATTGTAGAGTAGTTAAACTTTTTTTGTCAAGAACGTGTTCCTTTAAGCTGAAAATCCGAAAAACAATGCGAACATATAGCAGTTTTGGGAATTTTCAAAACTGATATTGTGGGGGCACCGAGGTCGAAAATTTGGATTTTTCATCTCAGTCACATCCCATACAAGAAAAAAAAAATCTGGTGTGTCCACTCACACGACTTTCCCTACGTATTTCAGAAACATTTCTATATCTTTAAAAATGTCGCGCCCCTGATGATACACCTAAACCAAAAAGAGGACCCGCTAAAATTGTGAACTCTAAGGTTTCTTTTGCCAAGCTACTTGGGGGTAGAGACCCGACTAATGTATGTGAGGCCCTGCCGCAAGAACAAACTCAACCCCAATCTCAATATCCTATCCCACCTAATGTACCTAATCAACAACAACCTCACCAACATCAAATCCAATATGTTCCTCCACCGCCTAATGCTACAGATCTAACCAGCTTATTGACATCCTTTCTTTCAGAATTTAAATCCCTTGTTACCCCACTGATATCACTTCTCACTAACCTAGTATCTCACCTTATCCCTCCTTTAAAAAATCCTTAAATGACTTCCATCAAACCCATATCCATTCTCCTTTGGAATGCGAATGGTGTTAGAAATCACATACACGAACTAACAGCCTTACTACAAGACAAGAACGTAGACGTAGCCCTAATAACGGAAACTCGACTGACTAAAAAACAGCTCCTAAAAATACCACAATACATAACTTACCGTACCGACCATCCTGACGGTAGAGCACATGCCGGTACTGCAGTCATTGTGCACCAATCCCTCTCCCATCACCTACTCCCACTGCCTACACACGATTTCCTACAATCCACCGCAGTCGTAATCAAAACCTTCTCCTTTCCTATTACCGTTGCATCAGCGTATTGCCCTCCAAACCAATCCATCTCCAATATCCAATTTAGTTCCTTCCTCATTTCCTTAGGACATCATTTCATCTTGGGTGCAGACTTAAACGCCAAACATCAACAATGGGGTTCAAGAACCACGAATTCTCGTGGTCGAACATTGCTGTCTGTACTCAATTCCCAAAATTTTACCCTTCTTCCACCCAACTCACCTACCTACTGGCCCACTGATCCTAACCGTAATCCCGATATCCTCGATTTCTTTATCCATAATGGTTTAGGTGCTCTCAACCATTCCGTTGCCCGTCTTGACGAGCTTTCCTCAGACCACAGCCCATTAATACTCCAAGTATCACTAGCTCCTATTCCTAAACCCTCTCCTCCGTCCTTCATCAGAGGCCCAGTTAACTGGAAACTCTTTCATCAAATCCTCTCCGATAAAATTGACCTCAGAGTAACCCTGAAAACCTCTGAAGACCTGGACAATGCAGTACATTCCTTCACTACCAAAATTCAAGAAGCAGTCTGGACTGCTTCCTCCCCTGATCACTCCTCAAAAATCCTTAAGAAACATAATTTACCTCAACACCTCCTTGACCTAATCCACATAAAACGCCGTGCCAGATTATTATGGCAACGTACCAGACATCCAGCCGACCGCCACTCCTACAATTATCACTGTAAAAAATTAAAAAAAGAATTAGCCACCTTCAGATCCCAATCATTCAATTCCTACCTCACCACACTCTCTGCTCATGATAATTCCCTTTGGAATATCACCAGAAAAATCCTCAAATCCCATCATATTTCCCACCCTCTTCGACGAGATGATGGCTCCTGGGCAGCATCTGATGAAGATAAAGCCGAGGAATTTGCCAAACACCTTTCCTATACTTTCGCTCCTCATCCAGAATCCCATCCCAGCCACACAGTAAAAGTAGAAGAATCCCTCTCAATACCTATCCCACTCTCCTTACCACCTAAAGCTGTTAATCCCTCTGAGGTCAAATACCTTTTACGGAAAATCACACCTCGCAAATCTCCTGGATATGACCTTCTAACCCCACAGATCCTTCGACAACTTCCATCTAAAGCCATCACATTTCTTACATATATATACAATTGCATCCTACGAACTACCCACTTCCCTCTTTTATGGAAACATTCCACCATCGTCCTCTTCTTGAAACCAGGCAAACCTTCCAACAATACAGCATCCTATAGACCAATTAGCCTACTCCCAATCCTCTCAAAAATTTTTGAAAAGATCCTACTGAAACGAATCCTACCTATAATTGAATCCTATAACCTTCCTACTCATCAATTCGGATTTCGTTCCCAACATTCCACTGTCCAGCAAGGACTCCGAGTTGTTGACCATATATCCTCAACCCTAGAAAGCAAGCAGTATTGCTCGGGTGCATTTCTGGACATAGCGCAAGCTTTTGACCGGGTATGGCACGCCGGATTACTCTTCAAGCTTAAAATCCATCTACCACAGTCCTTATACCTAGTACTCCGATCCTATCTTTCCGACCGCTCCTTCCGAGTTCGCTGTGGCACCGAATTCTCCGACTGTTACTCAATTGAGGCTGGCGTTCCTCAAGGCAGCGTCTTGGGCCCCATCCTTTACATTCTCTTTACCGCTGATATTCCTGTCCATCCCGATACCCTCCTGGCAACTTTCGCTGATGACACTGCTATCCTTTCTTCCAACTCAGATCCTGAAACAGCGTCCGCAAACTTACAAAGGCACCTCTTCCTGATTGAACACTGGTGTAAGAAATGGCGCATTAAGGTAAACGAATCTAAATGTAAACACATTACCTTCACCCTTCGGCGTAATACCTGCCCACCAGTTTATTTTAACTCCATCCAGCTTCCTTTCTCAGATACAGTCCGGTATCTTGGCTTTCTCTTAGACAGACGACTAACATGGAATCCACATACTCGACTTAAAAGACAGGAACTTAACAGACGATATGGCCAGCTATATAGACTACTGAATAGAAAATCTAAACTTTCTGGTGAAAACAAATTACTGATCTACAAGACAATACTGAAACCCATCTGGACTTACGGACTAGAACTATGGGGAACAGCCAAATTTTCTAACATCAAACGCATTCAATCCTTTCAGTCTAAAGTCCTCCGTACAATAGTCAATGCTCCCTTCTATGTAACCAATAAAACCCTACATCATGACCTTAATATCCCATTTATTCTTGATCTTATCCCAGCCAAATTTTCCAAATTTCACCAGAACCTTTCTCATCACCCAAATCCCGTTGTACAATCCCTATCAAGCACCACCCATCCCTACAATCCCCTTCGTAGGTTAAAGCGGCAGTGGCCACGAGACCTTTTGTAAATATGGATATTTTGGAGTTCTAGCAATGGCCAGATTCTCCACTCAAGTCATGAGTGTCTGTGGCTGTAGCGCTCTTACTCATCCTCCGCTGGTTTAAAATACCAGTGAAGTGGCTGAGGGAGAAGCGTAGGGATCTCCTAAGCCTCCCTTTTCCCTCCACATGTGGAGGGGACAGGATTGGTTCGGAGATCACCTGGCAAATTGTAAATAATGTATGTTTTATATAAGGTGTTTGTTTTACTTTTATTTCTATTTTTATTTACTTATGTGTATATATATTATTTTTTTTTCTTTACTCTTTTGTTCTTTCTTCTTATTCTTTTGTTATTACTTTATTTATTTATATTTTTGTATATACGGTATGAATGCAATCTCTGAACTCTATTATAAGTGTCCTTAACTGTGACAAATTGTAATATTTCAATTAATAAAAAAATCGGATCACTAGTTCCCGAGAAAATCTTGACACAGACAGACCAATGGCTAAAAATGTATTTTCCGGACTCTGTGGACTCTGAAACGTATAGTTCGTCGAAAACCGCATATCGGAAATTTGATCCGATCACAATACTTTCCTTGCCTAGTATAGTAGGAAAGTAAAAATGAAACCTTCTACCCCCATTCGATGCAGTTTAGACCCCCCATTTCATGACAAGATTACTGGGCTATGAGGAATATTTGATGACCATAGTGTGCTCGTGAGAGACATGTTTATCATCTGGAATCATGGTGCTCTCTTTCCACTAATAATTAATATTTACCCCTAATCATTGGCACAACAGTTTAACGATTTTAATTTGATTTAATCTTTTTTCCAGATAATCACCTCAATAACAAGCATGTTGTTCATCTTGATACAGTTTGGTGAACCTATCTCCATCATCGACACTTAGCCACTTCAGGCAGCCACAAGCTCTTTCCACCACCACTTAGTTCTAGAGTAATCAATTACATATTTTAAATATAGATAAGATCCTTCACAAAGAAGTTAAACTTCAACAACACTATTAAAATATTCTCTTAAATTATATAACTTAGTATTTTGATTAGTTTCTATGTTTAAGATGTGTTTCTCTATATTTCATTGCATCTTATTATTTTCTATTTACTTGTTAATATATTATTTATTGAACTTAATATTGCATTTCTTTCTTTTAATTATTATTCTATGTTTATTTCCTCTGGGCATATTATGATATCAACATACAATAATTACCACATTTATTCATTTATTTTATTTTACTGCGTACTCCTACGATTCGTTTGTATTACTTAATATTACTATTTTTTTTTAATTAATAGTTTAAAAAAATATTAATTAATAGTTAGTGTGAATGTGATCTGTGAACACTATTATAAATGTCCTTGAGACAGATTCTAATATTTTCAATAAACATACTATATACAATAAATAAGAATAAAATAACCTAAAAATAAATAAATAAAAAGAACACATACACACCTATATACAATAATAAGGATATTAAAAACAAAACAAAGAAAATATTCTTTACAGTAGAACATATGAAAAATATTTTTAAAACATATCTTTACACCAAATTGTCCAATTTCACTATTTTTTTTTTATATTTTAGGAAATTTCGTAAGCTTTTAAATGATCATAACAACAAAGGCGTCCCCTGGGATCCCGAAGATGAACCGTACAAAGCAATTTATCAAACATTTTAGTTTCGCCTCGAGACCCCCAGAGGCGCTCCAATATACCGTACAGCAATAGTCAAAGTGGGGAAAAATTAAGAAAGTGATTAGGAGTCTACGGGTTTCAAAAAGAAATATATTTTCTCACAATCACAATCAGACAGCGTATACTCGTAATATTACTCAACAAAAACAGTTTATTCTCAAATATTTTTAGAGAAATAAATAACGGCACATATTTAAATACTTTCATATAAATATGCATTCAAAGTACCTTTGTCCAATAGGTCTCACATACAATGGCGGACAAAAGTTTCAAATCTTTTGAAATACGGAAATATTTTTATTTATCTTTAATAGTGTTAATATACAAACAAATAATATATCATTTTATTCAATACATTATTATTTTTACATTAACATCCATAAATTAATTTAGGTATATATATATATATATATATATATATATGAAGTAATCTGTCTACACTTCAGTATGGATAATTGGGACTTCGTACCGGTGGTGTTGGGCTCGGAGTTTCATCAGTGAATTGCAACAATATCACCAAGTAAGTTGTAGCAGCTGCTATCACCTGAAAGTTAAAAAGAAACAAAAGAACATGTAATAATAGAAAATAATAACGTATTGAGTATACATTACAGGTTCTATGTCAGTTCAAATTGTAACTTCACATAAATTCAAAGCAAATGAGAAATGCTTTTTGCACTCACCGAATGTACCAAAGTGTAATCCAGATCAAGGAAACCTAACGCATTGAAATTTACTTCCCTCTTCATAATTACATGAAGTCTCAGTTTCCGCTGTGAATAAAATAGCAATATGTATCTTAAAAACACTGTCAGTTGTTTAACTATGCAGGTTATATATATATATATATATATATATATATATATATATATATATATATAATATTACAATGTTTTTCTATAATTCGAACTTTATATATTATAACTTAAGATATGAATTATAGTTTTTTTTACAAAAATATTCTTGCAACATCGATTTCCCTATCAATCGGATTTTTCTTAAATTTGATATTAGCTCTATTTTTGCAAACATTTGTGACGGTATTAATTAACTTCAGTCTTAGCTCATTTTGTTTTAAATCTTCTTTTTCTACTGTCTGTATCATGCATTCGACATCAGACAGGAGATGTGGTATTCTACTCAAGATATTTTTATTGTTTACTTCATAATTAAATTTAGGTCCTAAGGCTAAAATACTCTGTATGTTTTGTGGTATTCTAGTACCAACTATAATTCATATCTTAAGTTACATATATATTGTGTGTGTATGTGTATAGGTAGTTGGTATTTTGACAAGCTTAACTTTTTAATTCATACTTATATACACAAAAAAAAACTTCATTGTTTGCTTTAGACCACGCGTCAGCAAGGCGAGAGTACTATGAAAATATAATATTTTTTCTCTATATTCACAAAATAAATTGCATTTACAATATATGCAATTATAATTGTATATAAATTACTCTAGTAAACTTTGTGAGTGATCATTTGTATCCTCTAAAGTGATACAATAGGTTCATGATAACAAAAATATATGCTGAATACTTTTGACTGAAACCTATTAGCTGAATATATAACAAAAACTCCGTTATTTTTTAAATATAACTTCTGTAACAGGGTCAGTAATTTATAGAAACTCTATGGAGTGCAATTGAAAATCGAATAGAAACACATAATTTTTTTATTTCTTATTTTTATGGATAGATAAAAAAATATCTGTATTGACTACTGCAAATTGATTTCTGAATTTTCCATGGTGTTACGTGTAACACAACATGGTATAAAAATCACTTTTGTAACACTGAATAATATTTTGATTCTAAGCTATCCAATAATTAAGAGTTATATTTGAATTCATGATAATGCTAATATCAATCAAGTAATTGAAATTTAAACTTTTCATAACATTAAAGCTATAAATTTTAATAGTTTTAATATTTTAAATTATATATATATTTTTTTAATTGCATATTTTGACACCAAAATGATCGCATGCCATTACAATTTATTAAAACTTTCTGAAAGTTGGAAAAGGCCTTACGTTATCGGATAAATGTGTCGGGCCTTCATCGATCATAACTTCATTAAGGACGCTGTTGAACTCCTCAGCCTGCAATAGACAAGTTAACAACTTCACCTAATTGAAATATGGATTAAGTATATTTGAGATTATGGCATTTTGGAATCTGTAAAAAAGAAAATATTTCTCTTGAATTAAGTTTGATGTTGTAGGAATAGATTAATTTAAATGAAAATACGTTTACTTCCTGTACCAGCCCTGTCATTGTAACTTCCTAATTGCTATATTATTTTTAATAATTTAAATGTCTTGCCAAGTGTTAATTATTTATCTTAACATATGAACAATTATTTTCAGTTCCATTTGTATTTCATTAATTCAAATAAATTTATGTTGCTGTGAAAATGAACACGATTATAATTAATTATTTTCAATAATATTCAATGTTATAATGAAAAACCCAAATCCTGTTCGCCAATATTTTTTAACTCTCTATAGTTTCCCTTCTCAGATACAGTCCGGTATCTTCGCTTTTAAACAGAAGACTAACATGGAACCCTCATACTTGACTTAAAAGACAAGAACTTGACCGACGATACGACCAACTAAACAGATTAATGATTACCATCGATGACCGCCTCAAGTTTGTTGGAAAGGTAAAAAAGCTTGAAAGTTGGGTTTCGCAAACATTAAACGACAAAAAAAACAACACAAAAAACAGCGTTTTGATGTTTGTGATACACATCTCTGCCGAAATTAAAATGACCCTTTTCTGTCCAGCATTGTTACTTGTGATGAAAAGTGGATACTTTACGATAACAGTAGACGTTCTGGACAGTGACTCGACAAAAGAGAAGCAGTAGAACATTTTCCAAAGCTTACAACTCATCAAAAATAAAGTTGATGGTTACTGTTCCGTGGGCTGAATAATGAAGCCACCTTTGATCAATTGCAAGAGACCCATTTTGTTGCATGACAACGCCCGGCCACGTGTCTCACGTGTAACGACACAATAACTGTTGGAGCTTGGATATAAAACTCTGGCACATCCCCCCTACTCTCCGGACGTCTCACCAACAGATTATCATTCTTTTAGACACCTTTACCACTACTACAAATTCAATAGACAAATGCAATTAGAAAATTTGTTTTGGAGTTTAACAATTCTAAAGATGGGAAATTCTATTCCAAGGGAATGGAAAAGTTACCAACATGTTGGCAGAAATGTATTGATATTACTGGAGACTATTTTGATTAAATAAAACAGTTGTAAATCTTTCTTTTTTTTTTCTTTTTAAACCAAAATTTTTCGAAGAACCCAATAATTTACAGAAAAAAATATAATAATAAGAGGTTTAGCGAACCCGAAGGTTCGATGCCGACAACACCAATCGCATTACATACCTCTCTCCACCGTTCGCCGTCCAAACCCAGATCCTTTCAGTTCGGCTTTAACGCAATCTTCCCACGCTCGCTTTGGTCTACCCTTCGGACGTTTACCATTCGGTACTGCAAATATTAACCTTTTAGGAATTCTTTCGTTACTAAGCCAAACAATTTTACAAGCCCATTTGATTCGCTGCGATGCAATCACCTCAATTATATTAACCGAATAAAGTTAACGCGATTCAGCGTTAACTCGTCCTTCTTCGATAATATAGACTAATGTAGATAAATGGAAAAAAAAAAATCTATTTTAGTGGAGCTTTGACCCAATATGTAGTTTAAAATTACATTATTTTATTGAATAATTTTTTTTAAATATATATATATATATATATATATATATATATATATATATATATATATATATATATATATATATATATATATATGCTAGGATTTTAAGGAGTACCTCTTCCGAAGTCCGTTTGCAATAGGTTGTTATGTATACACAAACAATGGTGTGGTAAGTCAAGTCAAGAAAGTGTGAAAGGAAATCGAATATTCTCGAATAAGATTTAATTGTCAAAAGTAGTCTGAAAGCAGAAACCACGACGTTTAGCAAAACCAGAAAAAATACAAATAATAATTGTAGAGAAAAGAGGTCCATTAGAAGATCGCTGGTAGAACATAATATATCATAAAGGCGAATGGTGGATTCCACTTTATCCTTCGTATTAAAATAATGTTTCGATTGGCTGAGAGCCAAAAATATTTCACGAACCTTCGAAAACTTGTTTCCAACAATTCTGACGCATTGTACGAAAGGTTGAACAATAGCGAAGCATAACCAGACCACATAAGCTTCGAAGAGGCATTCGCTACAGAAGTCCATTGTCAGAGTGTCAATTCTCAACAAAATAGGAACCAACAAGAAAGTCGAAAGAGATAATATTAAAATAAAAACATCACGGTACCATTCCACCTTATAACAAGGAGATATTCCTAACTTAATGAATTCGCTATCAATTTTTAAAAAATGTTGATTCAACAAAGTAAACTCAGTTTAATTCCAAATTATATATATAGTACAAGCGAAAGTTGCACAATATTGAATAACCATACATATTTCGTCAATATTGTTTTCAGGACAAGAAACTATATCCCAGAGAAAGTAGGTCCCTAAATATATTATTTCGGCAAAGAAGATTATGCGAATGAAGCAGTTGATACCCAACGTCTTGTAGTTAACTGAAGCTCTGCCCCGATCATAAGAAAGTGGGAAAACACCTAATACCGATGATAGCAAAAAAACTCTATTCAAGCCTTCGCTAGTCGTCTCCTCGTTCATGGCGCACTGATCCACGAAACCTTTTAGAATGGAAGACCAACCAAAACAGAAAGAGTTCGATATCTCATTTCCAAGAGAGCTCCTTGGAGGACATGTCACTTCAGGCGCCATCTATCATATTTTATAGACATCTCTTTCTTTATCCTTTAATATTCTACGCACATCTTGAAATGCCTATAATCTAAAGTGCTTGTTTCTCAATAATTCATTTATCACTCAAAAATAAACAATACACAAGAGAGTTCCGGTATAATTACACTGATGTTATGTTATTTCATTATACTATCTACTTAATTTTCATTTTCTACTTTCCAAGCAGAATCACTAAAAACAAAAAAGGGAGGACCCAATCTCATTTATAAATCAATAGGGATATTAGGATAATAGGATAAAAGCATCAATAAATGACAGTTGTCCACTACCTGACACCCTCCTTGGAAAATGAGAATAATTAAATTTCATGACCTCCTAGACTTCTATTTCATATATTTTTAGTTTATATATTTTCTCCTTGCATATCTCTCTGCTTTGCTTTGCTTTATTATTGCCAGATATCGCAACCAAAATAAAGTGACAAATTAGGCAGGTCCCTCACAGTCCACTTAGTGTCTTATAAACAAGCATCTGTCAGTAAGAACACTATACCTTAGGTTTGCCTTTTTCTCTTAAACTACTCTAATTAATCCTAAAATTGTTGCTTGATTGTTTTTTTTTATTGTTTTAAATTATGTTTTATCTGTTTTAACTTATCTTGAAGAAGGAATTGGCTATGTGATGGATATCAGCTACTGGAGCCTTTCGTTTGTTGCTGATATTCCAGTACTCTCATTAATTCAAAGGGATATACTTAATACAACATATCTTAAAAATACGACCATTCACTACTGTTTTGTTAAAAGGGATGACCTTTTGTAGTTTAACAAAAAATTGTTAATGATTAGTATTAAATATAAAGAAAAAATAGGTTTTCCTATAAATAAATTTAAGGCAGGAAACATAAGAAGTTTCTTTTATAATAAGCTAAAGGTAATTTTTGTTATTCTTGAAATGATGAATTAAAAATATTAAGAAATGAAATTAAGAATATGATTTTTTTCTTAATTACATCCTTGTTAATGGCACTCCTGTCAGCTGCAGGAGCATTCCAAATGAAACAGTACAATTGGCTACTGGTACAACAAAACTATTCTCTTAATTTTCAATTTTATTGAAATTTAGATTGAATGTTCCATGGATTTGAAATATGCCTTACTAAGGTGAGAAATAGTTCTAGATGATGAATCCATGAAAAATATAATATCATCAATATTTAAGTTTTTTAACCTAAAAGTTAAAAAAAATTCCTTCAGCAAGTCAGCTATTGGTACATTTATTATATAGATATTGATGATGTAGAGTTGGTTGACCGTTGATATGATATGAGAAGGAATTAGTCGAGGGTGCGGTCAAAAAAATAAAAAAAATTAAAATATATAAATAATTTTAATTTTTGCCGACGTTTCGACCCACTTTGCATGTCGTCTTCAGGGCATTGGATGTGGCACTGCGGGAGGCGGTTGAAACACTCAATTGAAACACTCAACCGCCTCCCGCAGTGCCACATCCAACGCCCTGAAGACGACCTGCAAAGTGGGTCGAAACGTCGGCAAAAATTAAAATTATTTATATATTTTAATTTTTTTTTATTTTTTTGACAGCACTCTCGACTAATTCCTTCTCATATAGATATTGATATTTTCCTTTTGATTCTGTCTAAAATTGTATGGTAACACGGGATTCGATATTATCATATTTGAAAGAAAACTATCAATGTCAAATTTTGATATCCCATGTTATGTTTTATATTATTTTTTATTTTATTTATAAGTTTAAATAAATATTTTCAATGAATTAAATAAACAAATATTTTTAAATAAAACTACTTTAAATGTAATTTCCTAAATACACAGGTTTGTTTAAACACAAGTATTTAAATATTTATTTTTTTAATTAGTATTTAATTAATACCTGTAAAACTATGTGCTTCATAAAAAGAGTATATACAGACGTTAGAATTTTACACCAATCATACTTTTTTTTAACACGTTTTTTTTTAAATAAAAATGCCAAGATCATTTTTTAAATATAATTAAGTTGTCCATATATTCAACTTTTTTCTGTTGTTAATTGCTGAATATCAAAAGTAAAATTTATTAAAGAATAACGTAAACAATTATAACAAAGAATTTTATATATTATTTTTTTTTTTTTATTTATTTATTTATGGCGCTACGGTCCTGTAAGAACATGGGCCTCTCTTATTATCCTTCGCCACTCTCCTCTATCTCGAGCGAGCATCCTCCATCTTCGAATTCCCATCCTTTCCAGATTGTCCTCTACCTGGTCTAGCCATTTTAGGCATGGAAGACCTCTTCCACGTTTTCCAGCAGGCCAATCCTCTAGCAAGCGTTTGGGAATTGCGTCTCGGGACATACCCGCCACATGACCCAACCATCTGATTTGGTTTCCCCTCGCAATTGAGACCATATCCTGCCTTGCATAAATTTCATACAGTTCTTTATAGTGCGAATTCTCCATTGTCCCTGTTCACACACCGGGCCATAGATTCTGGGGATTAACGAAGAATAACAACTGAAAATAAATTATTAATAAGATTATTCAAACATAACATCCATGTTTCACTTTTCTTCATTATCAATTAGGTTTAATGTATAACTGGTAATGTATTCAATGTTTCCTCTAAATACAGATATCATTTGATAATGGTGATATCAATATTTTGGATTCGATATTATAATAATATCGATGACAGTCACATTAAGAACCACCGTTTCTATGGTGCATCACCATGAGCCAGGGCAATGAATAGGAACCATGAGTCTCCTCAAATCTTAAATTTAAACCTAATCTCATCAGAGTGCTTTATGTACTTGGTGGACACCATTAGAGATGCAGAGATGAGGGGCCACAGTGATATACTGGCTCATTTTTAGCAGTAGAATATATCAATCAGCCTTAAAAAATTGGCAACACTTTACTATAAATGCCTTGTTGAAGGACGTTAGTCAACTGTTCAACATAACATGGGTGATAAATAGAAAGGACACAGTCATTTTTAAGGTTTTTATTAGTGCAGACATTTCAACCCAATCATGTGGGTCATTATCAGGGCATGTTTCGAGTTCTGAAGGTATTAAAGATCGATCATTATCCAGAAGCTTGGATTGAAACGACGACACTAATAAAAACCTTAATATCAAGTTTCAGTTTTTAAAGTAACATTAAGTCAGCATAAAGAATTGGCCGTCTCTTCTATTGCCTGCTACCATTACTGGCCCCCTATTCAAACAATATACACATCACATTTACAGATAAAGATTGGATAGAATATACCTTCCCTAGGTAGCCACCCTGGATGGGCCATGTTTTAAGGAGGCAGCCCCTCCAGCTTACTAGGGGCTAGAGTCTGGGCTCCTAAATCTCTTCCCATTTATTTAAAATATTAAGAAACCTCCACAAAGCCATACCGTTCAGAGGACGGGCGGTTTAAGCTATAGGAGACGTTAATTCACCATAAATTGTAGTATAGGAAAGAAGAACATTAACACAATAAATTATCAAAATATTCATTTATGAAACGATGTTTTAAATTAAAAAAAAAATTAGTTACTGAGAAGAAACAGACATTGTTTTCATAAAATAACTCCATTATCAAACAGTTGATTCAAGGCTCGAAATATTCGGGGATATGTTTACATTTATAGAACTAAACAATGTATATAATACTTTTGATTAAAATAAAATTTCATATAATCTTACAACAGTAGTGTACAATCCTGTGTTGCTATGAAATTTATTTGTTTAAAAAATCAAGGAAATGAACTTTAAAGCTGGCTTGACTAAAAATCTTTATTAAGAATAATATAAATTATATACAATATATACATTATTATTTACAGTTATACATTATAAATAACATTATGTATCAGCTAAAGCAGGCTTCATAACTGTTTTTGTATAGGCTAACAAATACAAATCCTGCATAAGCTGAGTTAGTCTGTTGAAATGCTTCTCTGTGTAAGGTATCATAGATTCAATCAATGAAGTCGGAGGCTTAAGTTTTCCCAAAGCTATCTCATCCAACAGCACAGACACCAAATACTGAAATGAAATTAATCAAATTACATAAATTCATCATTACTCAACAGTCGTTTTAAAATGTAATTTAGAAGATAACTGATTAAGCACCTTATAAGCAGAGTTAGCAAAATATATTTTACACACTCAGACTTCATCATTAAGGTCTTATTCGGAACATATTAACATTATCGGTACATTTCTCCTTAATATATCAATGTAAAAACAGTAAAATGCCGTAACTCTGACAACAATCATTACTATTAATCTATCTCATATAATTACTACTATCATTTCAGTTCTGCTTATTTATAAAAGTGGTACAATGGAAAAAAGAAACTGTGGTTTATGAAGACTTCAATTTAGAAGAGTGACATATTATAAATTCAGTACTTAAGAATCAAAGTTAGTAATGACGATATGTTAGATTCCAAAATAACTTAACGCAGCAAGCAACTACGCAGTAAGCAAGAAAAGCAACTATTGTTTGTTACCAACTCCCCAATTTCATAATCAACAAAATAGAATTAGATAATAGTATTGGTTAATAAATATTATTGTTTATAGAAACATCTTTATTTCAACTAGTACAACTGAAAGCTGGTATAGCATTAATCCATTCTTTATGATAAGTGCACCGGTGCACTTATTAATTTCCTTCTCAATAACTAGGAATGCACCAATGCACGAGTCCTACGTCCTACCTCACTACTCAAGTGTCTATTGTGTTGTACAAACAAACAGAAAAGCATTCCTAGCCATTCTAGTAATTCTAAAAGCAATTTTCAGAATAAGGAGCAGGTATTAGTTTTACAATTGCTTTTTACGTTGAAAAGATATAAGTCATCTAAGTTTAGGAAGGCTAACTGTATTTATCCTTAATGTTTATTAATAAATAATTAATAAACATTATCCTTTGAAACATAATTTATTTTTCAGGCTGTTACTGATACTAATAAAATCAAGTAGTCGATTCGTTTACCAGTAGCTCAAATGGCAATATAAATCCTATTTTGTTAATATTATTTTTAAATATTATAATTTTTTAAATATATAATTTTCATGTGTATTAATAACTTATGGTAATACAGTATTCATGTATAACAGTTGTATTTTTGTACCTCAAATAAATAAAATATATCAACCATATATCTTGATGGAGTTAAACTTTTAAATACATATTTGTGAATTTTTATCATATTTATCGATACAAAAACCTAAAAAAAGACAACAACCCTGTATAGCTACATTCTGCTATAATTTCAAATAGAATAAATTCATCAACTTACATAATTCTCTAAAATGTTTGTGCAATAAATCGATAATATACAAATTTACTTTAAGATGGTAATTACAGAATTGAAATAATCAGGTTTAATTTGTAAATAAATAAGCAAACCTACAACAACTTAAACAAAGCTTTTCCCAATGTCTGTGCAAGCGCATTAAAGATCTCTCCCTTGATTTACTGCGAAAACACCCAAAGGAGTCTCACAATATTTTAAAACTTATATTTAACAAAATAGAAGTAGTTTATGTAAAAAGCAATAATAGTAAGAACAGTGGTTTTTCAATATTTAACAAAATAGAAGTAGTTTATGTAAAAAGCAATAATAGCAAGAACAGTGGTTTTTCATTTATTTCATTCATAGCATACAAAGAAAATTGAGCAATATGACTGTCGTATCGAATGAATTAAGAAATTGAAGAACTGAATAAAAGCCACAGAAATTAAATTCCAGAGGAAAGCCCTCGGTATGATTGTAACGAATTATAAAAAGAGATGAGACAGGACAGATATTGCTAATGGACAACACTCAAAAATAATAATTGAGGAGATTTGGCCATGTACAAAGAATGTCAATAGATTACCTAAAAATGTATGACAAGTTAAAAATGGAGGTAAATAACCACAGGAATGCCAGAGAAATAAGGCGAGAGGACCTCATATCAGATCTGGCAAGGAATAACAGCACTTATTAACTTCATCAAAAGATAGATTTGGTTATTCAGTCATCATTCAGTCTATCGTTTCAATTTTATTACTTGGCTCAACATCTATTGATCTTTTGTTAAGTTAAAATAATGATAGATTAAGGTTATAAACAATGGTAATACTTTCAGAAAATTCAAATCAAATAGATAAAATAGTTTTTATAAAGCATATATATGTATGTATTTTTTCTTTGTGAATTTTAAGGCATTTTTAATATATAAAAATCAGGGTTCCTAGATATAATTCAAGCATTTTATCATTCTAAAAAAAGGAAAAAATAGATCAAACCTGACACTTACCTGAGCAGCATAAGATGTTTTACTGTTCATATTCCAATGTGAAGCACATTTCAATATGGTCTGTTTTTCTTCCTGATCCAAAAGTAAAATGGTTTGGGAAAGACCTTCATTGCCACGTTTCATCACAGCTGTGAACAAAGAATTAGAATTTTTATTTTACTTATATAATATTTACTTATAATAAATATTTTTGTAACCGCCATCAGTCAAGTAGTTTAAAGCTAACATGGCTGTAATCACAAATTAACATACATTTTATGATATTCAACACAGTAGCAGGTCTGTCGAGCGTCAGAGCCAATTTCAGAGCTGAGAGGAAGTCTTCTGATTCCATGAGGTTGAACAGTTCCTGTTCTTTCAATGCATTCTCCTGTCTCCTCTTGGCTTCTTCAAGCTGCTTTTCTTCAGTCACATCCTTCCAGAAGACTATTTTAGAAGCGGAACAACCCGTCACTAAGCGGCATGCATCCTTGCTCACTTGAACAATAATAGCAAACCATTAAATAAAACAGTTATAACAAAATTATATAATTTTATGATTAAATCCTATTTTGAAATTTTTATATATCTTATATGTGTCATTCTTATATTACTTGACCATTTAGCATTTCTGAATCTAGCAATTTAGATTAAAAAATATATTAACTTTTTGAAGAAAAATTTATCTCAAACATTAGTATAAGTGTCCTAGATAACAAACTTGAGCTTCGATAGTCAATTTTCTGAATATTAGTTTTCTTTTTTATTAAACCATAACTTAATTAATATGGACTTAAAGCTTATTAAATGATGAGGTTTTTCTTCAATCATGTCAAAATAAAACATATTCAGTCTCCAAAATATTCATCATAAATAAAAAAAAAATAAATTTAGACAAACCTGCCAATGCCCAAATCTTTCCTATGTGGGCATCTAACGAAGCAACACATTCGCTCGTTTTAACTGTCCAGAGTTTAATGAGACCGTCACCACTGGCACTGACAACCTGAAGTCCTCTTGACAAGAATGCACATTTCATGACGGAAGACTCATGTCCTTCCAATGTCTAAATAACACACAATATATAATTTATGCCTTATATTGTTGAAATTCTTTAATTTTCATTTGATTTAATTAGTTAATCTATGACATTAAACCATAATAATAGTGTAATACCTTTAAGCAAGACAGGTCTCCCAGGCTCCAAATCTTAATTGTTGTATCAGCTGAACATGTCATGACAACTTGATCAACCGGCGAGAAAACTAATGACCAGACACCTCTCCTGTGGCCCCGAAGAGTACCCAGAGGAGCTAGATCTTTGGCATTCCACAACTGAAAATAATTATTAACTAACTAAAACGTCTTAATACAAGAAATACTTTAATTTTAAAAATACCTATTGCTTATTCACTAGCAAAAGTAAGGAAAAACTTGTGGTGATATCGCAACATACGAGTTTCTCCATAGGTCAGCATAAAAACAAAAATTAAAGATTTATTTTGATGGACCGAGTTAGAGTTTGATATTCATGAGAGTTACGTTGACATTTTTAATTCAAATGAAAACAACACACATAAGTTGCAAAACTTAACAAATACAAACAATTAAAATATACAAAATTACAATATTACTATACTCATATACTCAGCATAGTACCTTATCAATTTTATCAAATTCTAAACAATACTTTCACTTAGTTATTCAAAAACCTATTTTTCTAAACATGCCTATATTTTAAAAACCAAAAAAAAGTCGGTGATTAATATGCAAATGGTCTAGGCTCAAATTTACAGAATTCCATCAACTAATTTTCGTTATGGATACACAAATGTATTTTCCTTGACAAGCCTAAATTAAAAAAAAATGTCAAATTCTCTATATTTTATTTATTTCTTAATGATATTTACAACTGTATTAAAGAAATACATCTAGTAAATTTGTACAAATGGATATAATGACGAACACTTGACAGAAAACACTTGTTGAGAAACTATCCAATGGTAGAACTCTAATAATATACCTAAATTAGAAGATCACGGGACCATCTTCTTTTCAAATGCCTCGGAGGGTTATCAGGAATTGAAGAGGAAGCAAGGTTAGAAACAAGAGGGTTGGGATGATTCTAAAGTTTATTATGGAAGGACAGATATCTGGATTGGGCCAAATCTGAAACATAAGGAACATTAAGGTCATTATGGATGATTTTATTTGTAACAAAATCGGGAGCATTGAGGATTTTACAAAGGATTTTGGATTGGAAGGATTGGATAAGAGAGGAATTAGATGGTTCAGTGGAGCCTTGTAGCTCAACTCCATAAGGCCAAATAGGACTTATTATAGTCATGTATATGTCTTTTATAATTAATTGGAAGTTTAGAGCATTTGTCTAGTACGTGCTGAAGAAATCGGAAAGGTAGAGCGGTTTCTTGTCGTTTCAGTCTGGTATGAGGATACCAAGTTAGACGTTTGTCCAGGTGGAGTTCTAGTTAACGAATTTGTTCAACAAGGATAAGTGGAGTATTGTTAAAGGAAACTGTAGGACAGGAAGTCATAGGTTTACGACAAAAGGTAATTCGGTGGGATTTATTGGACTTTATTTTAATTCTCCAATTTTGACACCATTCTTCAAGGTTTATGATGTGTGTTTGAAGCATTTGGGATGGAATTGCTGGGTCATTATTTACTGATAGGATAGATGTATCATCAGCATATGTGATGATGACAGTGTTGATATAGGTTGGGATATCAGCTGTATAAACTGTATAAAGGATAGAACCTTGAGGAACACCAGCGGACTGGGAAAAGAGTGATGAATAAGCATTTTTGTGATTTACTTTAAAGTATCTATCAGTAAGGTAGGAATGGATAATGAGAAAGTATGTAGGTGGTAAGAATTTTCAGAGTTTGTACAGCAGTCTTGGATGCCAAACTCTATCAAACATCTGTTCAACATCGATAAAGACTCATGTACTATAAAGACTCCAATGCTGAGGAGACTATGTCTACCACACGATGAAATTTTATTTTTAAACAACAAATTATTGACCTTAAAACATAAATAATTAGACACACAATAGTAGTGATGAGGAAGTTATACTGACCCAACTTAACAGAAGTTAAAAATTTATTTAAAAAATATAAAATAAAATTAATAAATGAGTAAATATATTATAGAAATTTTAATTAATCTGAATCAGCAATGTCACTTATACTCCATGGTACAGACCCCTTTTTATCAAATTATTAACATCCCTCTGAAACTTTGTGAATAACTTCATTTCATCATAACCTACAACTATTTTATTTACAAAAACTCTTGGAATTGGGGCATTTTCAATTTGGAGATCCAGATTTGATCTTGATTTTGTGTTCAAATTATCTTACAATTGAAGTGGACAGCAACGGATATTTATAGGACAACACGAGTGTTTAGTATCTAATTAAATAGACAAAGTTTGCTGATATCCAGATTGATAACGGCTCAATTTCAAGAATTTTTGTGAATAAAATAGTTTTAGATTACGATGGGATGAAGCTATTTATAAAGCTTCAGGCACATGTTAATAATTTGATGAAAAGGGGTTTGTACCACGAACTATAGTTTACATTTTCGGTAAAAGACTAAAGCTTCTTAATATTTACAACTCTTTCAACAAAAAATTAAACAGCCCAAAATATCAATATGATTTACACAAAATGGAAATAAGTTAAAGTTCACAATTTTTTATTATAAGCAAAATCACATATTTTTACATGCCTTTGCAGTTTTATCCAGAGAAGCCGTGGCAACCATTTTGTCATTAGGTGAGACAGCAATGGCATTGACATCTTTATCATGTGCCATACACGAGGCTTTCATCATCAAACTGGAACCATCATGTTCTAAAAAAATATAGAGCAAAATGTATAGATACAATTTTTAATATCTTCTAACTGCCTTTAATTTAAATAATGATAAAATAATTTTTCAGATTTAAAAATTTATTTATTTCTAAAACTAAATATGAATAGAAAAAATCTGAAAATATAAAACCTTCTAAATTCTTTGGTAACTTCCATAATTTCAGAATATTGTCCTCCGCCCCTGAAAGTAGGAATGAGACTGACCCTTGAGAAAACGCAAGCCCACAAGCTGAAGCATTATGAAACATGCCAGAGGCGATGCATGTGGCACCAGCCTTACCACAAAGAGCCCAAATTCTAACAGAATTATCCTGTTGAAAATAAATACACTCGTAAAATGCTAAAAATTAATATATAACTGGAAAAAAAAAATTTCAAAATTAAAAACTACTAACTTTTGATGCTGAAGCGAAAATATTAGGCTTCTGGGGAGCAACAGCTAGAGTTACTACAAACCCCGTGTGACCAGTAATGAGTGAACAGCTCATAGAAGACAGCGTATATAATTTAATATCAGGGCTATTAGTAGCCACCGCAATATGTGTCTCATCTTCACCAATGTAGGCCAAATCAAGAACTTCGTCTGAATATCCTACAAACTTTAAAGAATTCTTATTAACACACTAGCAAATTTTTTAATTCATTGCTGATTTTTCTAAATCTGTCACTGAGAAAAATCAGTAGTTATGATTTTTTACTAATTTAACAATGAAATCCAGAACATGCATTTATTGTTGTACATCAAAAAAAAAATTTAACCATTTTAAAACTTCTTTTGTTTTTTCATTTTAATACATCATTTCTGGCTAATTTATCCATCCTCAAGTCTATTTTAAAAAAAGTTTATTGAACATTAAGTCCTTAATTTATATCATTCAATAAATAAGAAATTACAATTCACAAATGGCTAACAAAATGAATTCAAAATATGCGTTATTCTAAAATTGTAATAATTTTTTTAATGTTATTTTTATGTTTATACTTCACATGTTATTTTTATATTTAAACTACACAACCAGTGTCCTATAAGGACACCTTTTGTCCATTAACAATTAAAACAGAGTACATTAAAGAAATTGTATCCAATATCCCCGTTATGTTACAGTAATTTTATTTTTACCTTACTAATTCTCAATTGTAGAATTAATGAGATCAGTATTATATAGGGTGCTCCAAAATTAATGCTAAGTTTTAAATTAAATATAAAACACAGTTCTTTCTTCTTTTGTCTTATTTTTCTGTGTTAATTTAATAGCTGATAGTTTAGGGTTGCTAAAAATAGAGTTATACGAGCGAACAGCATGTTTTCATCAACAATATTTCAAAAATAATAATAATGAAAGTCTTGCAGCAATTTGTTTTGCTACAATATTGACACTTGAACAGCCTGTTTTTGGACAAACAGTGTGTTTAACATCAGAAATTGATTCAGTCTGCTTGAATTTCTTAATCATTCTCTTCACAGCTGATTAAATAAAATCATTAGTCCGACCATATTTTGAACAAAATTTTCGAACTGTGACGATTTTCATAATTTTTAAAATATATTTCAACTATGAAAACACATTGTTCGCTCCTATAGCTCTCTATTTTTACTAACCCAAGACTTTTTACTAGACAAAGAAAAAGAAAACAAAACAAGAAAGAACTGTGTTTTATATTTAATTTAAATCTTGCATTAATTTTGGGACACCCTTTATTATTTGATTTAAAACAAATTATACATTACTACAATAACTTAAGTTTTCAAAAATAAACCGAAACACAGATACCTGATTTGTGCAAACAAAAGTGTCGATAGAATGCACGAAAATGTTGTGATCGTAAGAAACGAGGGCAAATGATGAAGCAGCTGTGGAAAAGAGAAGTTTACGTAGAGCCAAGCCACCTTCTTCGCTCTTCTTCACCAAGCTGTTGCTCTGGATATAAAGCTCTTTTGGATTTAGCACATCCCAAACTCTTATCACACCTTTAGGCAAAAAAAATATATAAATAAAGAAATACAAATTATTATCATTAATAGCAGAGTTTAAAATAAATAATTATTAGTCAAACCAATCATAAAATGATTATTATTTTTTATAGCTGAATGCAAAATCCCTTAATATTACTTAATATAAAAAGTCAGTATTGTAATATATATCTTTATTGGAAGGTAAAAATGGCTAATATCATGGATGGATGAGCGAGGTTCATTGGCTTTTGAGAGAAATCTGTGGTGCACTTATGGACCTAGAAGAGTCGGTCAAACATACCTCAGGAGGGGTAATCATGAAATATATAACCTCCTTGGTTAACCTGACATTGTGAAGCATATAAGACTAAGAAGATTGAGGTGGACTGGCCATTTAGCCAGTAATATCACCGGATGATATCTCCAGAAAAATAATGAGCGAGGCCATTTATACTAGTACTAGGCATAGAGGAAGATCATCTTAGATGGATGGATGGAGTAGCAGAAGATGCTTGGACGATACTGGGGTGCCAGGGACTGGAGTACTGCTGCCCAACAGCGTGCAGAGGAAGTTATTAGAGGAGGCTAGGAATCAGTAATGGTCTGCCGAGCCAATGAAAGAAGAGAAAATTTTACCTATATATTTTTTGAAATTTAATTATATATAACATTTATTCTTAAGTAACAATAATTATTAAATTTGAAGAAATTTAATTTTCAAATTATTAAATTTAATTTTATAACAGTTTAGTACTTGGAAAGTCATGAAAATGGTGAGTATTTAAAAATCTAGATAGCCCTGAATGTGAAAAGATCGCGGCATGATCTGCAACTACATAATATAAGAGGTTCCAAAGAAGAAGTTAGTACACAGTTATTTCAGTTAGTTGTTGGTATTTAGTTTGAACTGAGTTCGTTGTGAATAATTATCAGTGGATTTTATGTTGATATAAGGTTATATTACATTATTTCCAAATAATTCTATTAACAAGTGTTTTAATGTCAAATGTATTTTATGTATATTGTAAAGTATATGAGAGCACATTAAAATATTAATGCTACTAATCCTGATGAACCACTTTTGGATGGATTTCCATTTTCATCATCTTAAATTAAATCCTATTATGATGAAAAAAAGTTTAAAAACACAAAATTGACAATATTTATTAACAATAAGGACAATAAATCAATGAGTTTTTAAATGTGATTGAGCAGGGGAGGAGTGCGCAACTTTTTCCAAACTTATGTTATTGAAATGTCCTTTATTTTAAAAACATACTAGGTATATAGATCTTAATGGTCTGCCGTTTGTATGGTAATCCTCTACATACTTGTTAAAAACAGTAAACCATTATTTTATCTAAAACCGCCCACTTCAACAACGGCTGATGATTTTTTAAAATTATTTTATGAATATTAGATTTATTTCATATATCGTTACTATTAGTGCAAAATACATTCAACATGGAAGGAAGACCTTCATAACATAGCTACATTTCTATAATTTTTCCAGCTAAAACCAAATAATGTTAAAAAGATGATAAATAATTTAATTTTTATTTAAAGTAAAAATGCAATGTTTTCACAATATAAGTAGTTATATAAAAATGTCTATAAAACATTATTATTATAATTATTAAGTATATTTTTTCAACTTTATAGCAGAAAATTTATAAAGAAATCATGTGGAAATGGAGGTGTACATTAGAGATGGGAAATTTGATTCTTTTAACTGAATCGATTCTCAACAATTCAATCATTGTAATGAATTCATTCTTATGAACTTTTTTTTTTTTTTGCTACACCTAAGTAACGCCTGCTTGATCAGCCGTGCGTGCTCTTGCAGTCCAAATAATTTTGCTCTCTTAGCATAAGAGCTGTCCATTTCACTAAAGGAACATGATTACTTGTAATGCAGGGCATGTATCAAGATGTTCTCCAGTCATCATATCCAATGAACACAGAGGGCATGTCGGGCTATCTTTTACACCGATGTGGTGGAGGTGCTTCTAAAGGAAATCATGGCCTGTGAGCATTCTAAAGCATGCCACGGCTTGCTCTCTAGGGAGGTCTCAAGGGATCCTGCCACTTTCTTCCAGCAATCCACTCCATCGCTTCCCTTCAATTGTTTGCACATATTTTTGTCTGCTTTATAATTCTTTTTGTTGAATCCATGCCCAGAGGAATATCTGGTTAGATCATTACAGAACCTATTCTGACCAGTTTGTCAGCTTTGAACTAAGGAATTGGGAATTGCAGATTCCAACTGGATTGAGTCACCGGTTTGTTCAAGGAAATTTTCCAGCCATATTGCGTTGTTCACTGTTTTTTATTTTTATTTTCCGAATCTACTCTTCCACTAACATTCCGCACTTCTTTATAACCTATTTACATTACTTCTTTATGCTTATTTAGATTACTTATTTATTTTTTCTCTCAGTTTGTTTTATTTATATATGTGTACAGTTTTTTCTCTCTTGTACTTTTATTTTTAATTAAATAATTAATTTAACATTTCAATTTTGTTTATTTGATATTTCTCTCTGTTTGGTTTATTTATACATTTATAGTATAGAGTTGTTTTTTCTATTTTGTATTTTCATTTTTGATAACACCAATTAAATCGACGGATTCCGAGTGAATCATGAATTTTTCGTATGAATTGCTAGAAAGTACGATTCTTTCAGAGGAATCAATTCTCGATTCACCTGCCCATCTTTAGTAAACATATGAGAGGTGAATGAATCATAAAATCCTAGGTAATGTTTTTATATAACCATCCCTGAATATAAATGAAAATTTAAACAATAGGAATATTTAGGTCATGATAAAATAGTTATGTACCTGCTTATAGGCCTTAGCCTAGCAAAATTTTCTTAATCGATTTTAGTTTAAATATTTTTTTATCCTTATATTTTTAACTTATATTTTTACATATCACATCCTTTTACATGGTGCAGGAGGCCTTGACTCTGCAGGATTTGCAGCACTTCGGATGAGATTAGAATAAAGTTTGTAAAGTAAAAACCTTGTGAGAGCCAGAAATAGGATCTATATTACTATATTGTATAGATATCATAGGAACAAACCTCTATCACCTCCCGTAGCAACGTAAATACCATCCTGGTACTTGATATCAGCATCTGGAAGAGTTATACTGTCGGGAAGAATAACAAGAGATTCCAGACTTTCATATGTTGGTATCACTTTCAGCTGTTCGCCACTTTTAATGTTCCATAATATGATTACTTTATCTCTGCTACAACTGAAAAAATATATATAAGAAAGAAATGAAATATAAGTTATTTTTTATTTTTGTAGATAATCTTGGACAGTTCTGCAGTTAAGAGCTTAATAATACCAAGTTTTATTAATAGAATATAGCAGCATACTTAAGGTGACCAGATATTAACATTGGTAAAGTGGTACATTGTTGACCAGGTGGAAGGGAGGAATTCTTGATTAAAATTTTTTGCCCAAACATGGGGTCTGAATTTGTAACATAGTATTCAGCTGAAATAAAGTTGATAATTTAGTTCTAAAAACGTAAGGGAGCGGAATGGCCAAGTGGGACAACGCGTGTGCACAGAACCACGGATTGCCTGGCAACCTGTTAACTAAAGTTGGATGGAAAAATATTACGAGTTCAAATCCCGGTACCCAGTAGGAATTTTAACCCGGCATAATTCACCCGCCCTTTCCCCGGACCGGAAAAAACTCCGTGTAGACTAGAAGGCACGGAAAAGAAAAAAAAAAAATCTGAAGCTGTAGTTTTGAGAGAGAATAATCTGACGATGTATTTAACGTCAAATTTATGATTTCGATAATAACAGTTTTTAACAATTGAATGTTTTATGGCAGCAGTTTGTGCACAATCAAGCAGCTCTTTTATAAAATGTTATGAATCTTGTCGAAGGTGACAAAATTTCGGTAATTGAATTAGCAAATGAAGTTAACTTGCTGATGCCCAAGATTTATTCTTATCCTTATCAATATATTTTTTTAATAATGATACCTCATCCAAAAGATCTTATCATCCAAAAATTTAACTTCAAACAATGGTGGTCAAAATGTAACAACTGACCAACAATGTTAACTATGTTAAGCAATATCCTATAATCAGTTCTAAACAATTATTCGTTATTATTGTTTAACACTATGGAGGCAGCGGCTATTCTAAAAATAAATACCAAGTCTACTCACCTTATCCATAGGCACTGCTGCCTTACAAAATTATGTAATTATAAAAAATTATTAATAGGAAAATATAAATGGCGAATAGTAGACAATAGATATATATTAGAAATAAAGAAATTAAATAATACATGTTATAAAATAAGAACTAAATTGTTTCTCTTAATACAAAATAACATTAATGAAAGAAATACTTAAGCATTAAACATCAACAAAGAATTCTTAGAACTAGAAATTAAATTTACAACTTTCATTGATGAATTATAATTAATTATCATAATTAAAAATTTTAAATAAAATAAAATTAATTTAATTGTTAAATTAATGATAATTTCAAATGATAATATAATGATGATATAATTCAAGTTATATTTTTTCTAAATAAACAGGAAGAGAAAAAAAAAAAAAAAAAAAAAAAAAAAAAAAATATATATATATATATATATATATATATATATATATATATATATATGAAATATCAATATTGAACTGGAGACTTTCATAATATGAGGAGAGTAGTACGCTAGCCACTTAGCTCTGGAGCCAGGGCCCAAAAATTGACCTCATCGTAGGCGAAAACATGATTGTAAATTACGAAAAAGTAAGTTATTCTGAGTAAAAAGAACCTTGTCTGCTGTTCCATAGGCTGCTGCTTTCAAAAATGGCGGCTGATTTAAAGAATATATGCCAGTCATTTCAGGATAGAACGGGTCCCAGGATACAGGATAGAATCCATTGCGAAAAATATGAGAAAAGTTTTTGTTTTTAACTTGTATATATGGGTTTAGACATGTAAAAACTGAAATTGCTAACACGAGACACCAAGGGAAAACTTTTTACAGCCAAAAAAGTCATATGTTTTTGTTTTTTCACCTATAACTCCTAAACTATGTATCGAAATGAAAAATGTATTCTTCATAACGAGTACATTAACTTTATAATGTGGTTATGTGGTAAAGTATAAGACCACGGTCAACCAACACTGATTTTTACTAAATTTGTCAAAAACTGAAACAAATTACTATAAATGGCACTGTAGCTTGGAAATGTAAAGCATCCAATTTTGTGTCCACTGAGTACTAACATTTTTATTGTAGGTCAGTTATATATCTCAAATGGAGATTCGTTATTCCTTTATAAAATACGGTATCTTTCGACACATCGTTTATCAAAATGATAAACCACCTGCTGCTGAGAGGTGGAAAAGAGGCTTATACTGCATATAACAGACTCTAAACAAAAATAACTCAGTAGAATAGACACCCATACTGTTGAAATATTGAAAATCACGTTCAACTTCATTACCAAGCTCTAACCATCGGGAGATTACAGATTTTGTTCCGAGTAAGGGACCTACATTAAATTAGTTGGTAATCATGGGACGCAAAATTTTATGCTCTACAACTTGGATTCTGTGGGTTTTTCTTCTTGAGGAACTTATTTCCAAGTTGCAGGGCCACTTATAGTAATTTGTCTGTTTTTGACAAATTTGGTAAAAATCAGTGTTGGTTGACCGTGGTTTTATACCTTGCCACGTCACCAAGTCATAAAGTTTATGTACTCGTTCGACGTCCAATTTAACAGTCTTTAATTTATTAAAGAATACATTTTTCGCTTTGATGCATCATTTAGAAGTCATGGATGAAAAAACAAAAAAATATGACTTTTTTGGCTATAAAAGGTTGTCTCTTGGTGGTCGTCCGCGTTAGAAATTTTGTTTTTTACATGTCTAACCATATATACAAATTAAAAAAATAAAAACTTCTTACTCTTTCTCGTTCTTTTTACTCAGAATAACATACACTTTCGTAAATTACAATCAGACCTTCGCCTGTGATGAGACAATTTTTTGGCCCTGGATCCAGGGAAAACTGGTCTATTGTTGTCCTTACTGAATGGTCATGAATCATTGTACAAAAGTTCTACCTCAATCTGAAGTATGAGAAACGTAATGTTTTTAGCTCACTCAAAAAAACTGAAGGCTCAGAGGGTTTTAAATGTCTTTAAAACAGCACCACTCACCTCCAAAATTAAAAACAAAAACTGGACACCAAAAACTGTATATTCTCTTTCCGGTCCCCAGCCTTTCTCTAGCATGTAGTGCATTCTTTCCAAAAATCAGGACTTTTTTAAAACACAGCGGGACGCGGGATAAATGGTTAAAAATCGGGATTGTCCCACTAAAAAGAGATGTCTGGTCACCTTACTTAACATACAGGCACAAAAAATATTCATGAAAAAACACTGCCGTCCTGAACAGTCTGTTATCTTCATCATTGATATTGATTAATTAATGATTATAATATGATTAATTAATGATTAAATCTATTTCAATTTTTACAATAAAATCTAAATAGTCTATAACATTAAAATATGGCATAATAAAGTCTTTTTGACTTTAAAACTTTGAGATAGTTCTCAGTATTTGAAAAATTAATTATGGAAATCTAATTCGATGACTTACCTTACAACATGGCGATGTGTATTTGAAAATACGATATCAGTAACTGTACTGTAATGGCCGGTTAGGGAAAGTTTTTCTACACCACTTTCAATATCCCAGGCTTTAATAATTGCATCATCACCAGAACCAAACAAAAGTATAGAGTTTCCTTTCTCCAGAAATTTCAAAACACTAAAAATACATAACATTTTTTTATCATATTAATTACTAATTAAACAGAAAAAACTATTAAAAATGCAAAAATGGTTTTATATAAATACTGTTATTATATTTTTTTTTTTGTTCCCACCCATTTCTGAAAGTTGAAAAATGTCACATATATACAGGCTTAAATACAATTATTGCATATCTAAGAAAATAACTGTAACATGAAATGTTAGATTGCTTAAATAAATGGCACTTTTTCACATGAGCTCCACACAGATTAGGCATAGTTCACAATAACTTTGGTCACACTTGTTCAAGAAATGCTGAAAACGGTCAAATGTTATGGTGTCACCTCATTTCCCAACCACCCATTTTCCTTTCTCTCATATATGAAACTCTATCATAGAACTTTCTTATTATCAAATTATTTATTTACAAATTTGTTTATCATTAATTTTTTTTTTTAGAACGGTAACTACTATGGAAGAAAAATTAAAAAAATATATAAAGTGACATTTGAGTGGTCCTTCGAGGCATGATAAAAAAAAAAAAATTCTTTTAGAAATTCAATTTTTATGCATAAAGTTTTTGTAACATTTTGGATTTCTTCAACATAAAGTTCTACTATAATGTTGTCAGAGATGCTTTATATTAAAATACCGTCAGAATTAAGATTTTGCATCAAGTTTATTTAATTACTTGAATTTCTTTGAAATAAGGGTCAAATTATTATGTTGTTGAAAGCACTTAATATGAAATATTGTTGGATATGAGACTGCGTATGGAATTTTTTTAACCCTTTTGATTTCTTCGAAATAAAGGTTCACTATTATGTAGTCGGGAGTTTTTAATGAAAATACTGTAATATTTGAGATTGCGCAAATGCGCAATGATTATTTGTAATTTTTTTTATTTCTTAGATATAAGGGTCCTTATAAATTATTATATTATTTCTCATAGTATTATTTATAAACTATTATTTTGTTAGAGATGTTTTTTTATGAAAATACTGTTGGATTAGAGATTGAACATCAAGTTTATTTAACTTTTTGGATTTCTTCTATATAAGGATCCACTTGTAACCTTTAGGATTTCTTAGATATAAGGGTCCAATCTTATGGTGTCTGAGACATTTTCTGTGAAAATACTGTTGGATTAGAGATTGTGCAATTGCTTATTGAGTTTTTCACTTTGTTGATTTCATTGATAAAAACCACCCCTGACAACATAAAAGTGGATCCATATATCGAAAAATTCCAAAAAGGTGTTATGTTATCTAGGGTGCTCTTTATGATAATACTGTCTGATTTGAGATTACACATTGGATTTATTTATCTTTTTGAAATTCTTCGATACAAGGATCCAACTCTTATGTTGTCGGGGGTGTTTTTTTTACAAAAATCCTGTTTGATTTGAGACTACATACTATGTTACTATGTTTAAGATTGTGGATCAACCTTTGTAACTTTAGATTTCTTGGATATAAGGGTCCACTATTGTGTTGTCAATGGAGGATTTATTGCTCATAGAATATTTGTAACCTTTAGGATTTCTTAGACATAAGGGTCCTATCTTATGGTGTCTGAGACAGTTTCTATGAAAATACTGTTGGATTGCTTAATGAATTGCTTATTGAGTTTTTTCACTTTGTTGATTTCATTGATAAAAAACATCCCTGACAACATAAGAGTTGGATCCTTGTATCGAAGAATTTCAAAAAGATAAATAAATCCAATGCGTAATCTCAAATCAGACAGTATTATCATAAAGAGCACCCTAGACAACATAACACCTTTTTGGAATTTTTCGATATATGGATCCACTTTTATATTGTCAGGAATGGTTTTTATCAATGAAATCAACAAAGTGAAAAAACTTGATAAGCAATTGCAAAATCTCTAATCCAACAGTATTTTCATATAAAATGTCTCAGACACCACAAGATTGGACCCTTATATCTAAGAAATCCTAAAGGTTACAAATATTCTATGAGCAATAAAGCCTCCGTTGACAACACAATAGTGGACCCTTATAACAAAGAAATCTAAAGTTACAAAAGCTTGATGCACAATCTTAAATTCAACAATATTTCCATAAAAAATGTCCCTGACAATATACGAGTTAATCCTTATATCGAAGAATTTCAAAAAGATAAATAAATCCAATGCGTAATCTCAAATCAGACAGTATTATCATAAAAAGCACTCTAGACAACATAATAGTGGACCTTTATATAAAAGAAATCTAAAGTTACAAAAATTCGATGTACAACCTTAAATTCAACATTTTTTTCATAAAAAGTATCACTGACAACATAAGAGTGGATCCTAATATAAAAGAATTCCAAAAAGGTAAATAAATGCAGTACACAATCTCATATCAGACAGTATTTTAATAAAGAGCACCCCCAACAACATATAGACAAAACGTAATTTTAACAAAATGTTTATCATAAACAACGCATAATAGACTATTCGTTATTCTTAGAGTATCTAAAAATAATGAATAACGAACAAATCATCTGTTAAAAGTCATAAAATAACAGCTACAGATTTATTTATTAGTTGTTATTTAGATATAGATAAATATTTATTCCAATAATGTTCAATCCCAGCAGGACAGTTTTTATCTATTACTATTTCTTTTCCATGACTAAGTAATATAAGTATAAGTTCGATTAATTGTATGACATGTAAATTAAATATCGAATGTAAGCCATAAAACTATACATGGGTAAGGGTATATAATTACTTTCATGACAAGAAGATTATTGTTCACTAACTGAAGAAATCGGTCACCTTTGTACTCTTTCGGATGGATTAGGGACAAGTGTGTGATTGTGAACAACACGTAATCCGGGCGGAACCCTTGTAAACTAGTACCTAATAAATTATTAAATCTAAGAGAATCGAGGAATTATTTTAAAACACAAAATCTATCCAGGTTATCAAGTGGAATTTTAAGTTCTTAAAATATTTACTTTAAAATGCACAATAATTAAGCTATATGAAAATTAAAAGAAAAATATTAGTGATAGCTAAGGAAACAACACTTATAAACATACCTACAAACACCTTTTATTCCAGTCAGGTTTTTGGTGCATGCATGATACTTCATGTCCCAAAGGCGTACACTGGAATCTGATCCTCCACTAGCCAAAATCAACCCATCATTAGTTATAGCAAGTTTTGCGACCGGTCCTTTATGTACACTTCGCCAATGTTTGACCATAGTTTTATCTGTAACATAAAATATATGTCTGTGTGTGGTTTATTAGTGTTAATAACTTTTTCAAACTAGAAAATTTATTTTCTGCATATCACGACCTTAAGAAAACATACTTAATACTTCTTATTTTTTATTTCATAGTTAACATAAATTTTACTAAATATATATATTGGACATAGGTGGAAGCATACTCTTCCTTGTGTATGGTTTCCTACATCACAGTTAATTGGCTCCGATTGATGTAACTACATACTAATAATAGTGTATAACAACCTGAACAAATATATGACAAGCAAATAATATTAACCTTCATAGTTCCACAGCTTGAAAAGCCCACTTTTGTGAGCAGATACAATTTGTTCATTATCAGGACTTAAAGTAAACGTCAATATCAAGTCAACATCAGCATTATCCTCTGCGGGAACTTCTTCATCACCAATAATGCCATTCACTTTTCCACTTTCAACATCTAAGAACTGTACAGATCCTCCGCAATGACACAGGAATGTTGCACCATCCTTTGACCACTGAACAAATAAATTAATACAACAGGATTGAGAAGTGAAATTATACAAAATATAAATTTTAAAGTGACATACCACCACATCTCCTCCTGTATAAAAGGACTTTAAGGAAAACTCAGCTTCAAATCTGAAATGTGTAAAAAATAAATATTTATATTTAATCCATCAAGTCTTATAAATGAATTGTATAAAATTGGAAGATCCCAATTTAGTTTTTGCTCTTATATATTAATAACTAAACTGAACTAACAATTCTTTCAACTTAGGGGACGGCATTGTAAGCAATTCACAAAACTGTTCAACTTCATAAAAGAGAATCTTTCAGAGATGATTTAAAATTGCGTTCTACACACGTGGGAACGACTCCATAACCTCTCTCTCATAAACAAAATCAGGTTATGATATTTTACCAACTAGCAACCAAAGCATTTAAACTTGTAGAAGCAATAAAGGTGTTTCTAGATATTTCGCAAATTATGGGAAACAATTATCTAACTTGAGTAAGAGCGACAATATTGATAAACTGAACTATTTATTTTATTTCTCTTGATACCGACAGCAAACGGAAAATATAAAAAACAAGAAGCAAAAATACTAGGATAGGGAAATAATAATAATTTTGTACAATAATAAGCATTGGGAAATAATTTTCCAGAGAATAACAATTAGTATTAAAGCAAAAACGAGTGAAGCAATAAATAAGGATTTTATGTGACTTTAAGAAAAGGTATGTATACAAATAGATACAAATGTAGTCCCAACCATCAGCTAAAGGACAACAGGTCAAAGGATAGAGAGTCGCATCAAAGGGCAAAGTTTCCTACGTAAAACACGCATAATAAAAGCTGAACGTACTTCGAAGAAATCCAGTCTGAAATGAAAAAAGCTGCAGACGACTTCTCACCTTGGAAAAATCATTGCTAGCCATCCATATTCTTATTGATACCGAGAATTAAAAATAAGAGTGACAAGAATCAACTGGAAATCAGAGCTCGAACTCTCGAATTTATCTATGATCTCTGGACATAAGTAGTTAACTCGAAAAATGGTCCTCACGAGTTCTGTAAATTGAGTTCATCTTCCAAGCGTTCTAACAACGTGAAGAAAATAGCAACTCACCATACTAAAAATTTTAGAAGTCTTGACAAGAATCGTGAATTTACTGACTTATTTGCGGTGTTTAGAAGGCTTGGAAGATGATCTCAATTTACAGAACTCGTAAGGACCATTTTTCGGCTTAACTAGTTATGGATGGAGACCATTGATATAAACTCCACAAATCCAAAAAATTGTGGAACAGAATATATACTAATAGTTCATTTGAATTTCCATACGACCACGCACTTGAGAAAGCGATTGCCCCAACTCAACAAACTATAGAGCTAAACAACAGTCAATTCTGGAGCCAGCTAGAATCCTAATAGACCTAGTATCTAATAAATATCGAAAATTAAAGATCGCCTTTCTAATCTACGCAGCTTCGGTTCTTTTGAGCTTAAACGCCAAGTGCAAAATAGATCTTTCATTGCCTGTCACTGAGTTGGAACGCCTCGCAACTAACTATGAACAAGTTAATAAATATATAAACTTCACTGTGAGAGCATTGTGCATCCTCGAGCATTTTGGAATAACTGAAAATTAATTAACTGATAACCTTCCAAAGGAAGATTCCAAATTAAACCAAATCACATCCATACCTCGACTTGAAGAAGTTGAAACGATAAATAAAGAACCAATTCAGTAGAGGTGAAACAATCAGCACACAGACTTCAAAACGCAAAACCCATATTAATCACTTTTAAGAAAGGGAAGAGTTTTATTTTTCCAACTTATAATTGGACATGACAGTCTTAACTAAACCCTCTGCAAAACATAAAAAATTGGCACAACTCCTTTATGTGAATGTGGAATACATTCATATCAGACATGCATCCTAATGGATGAATACCGGAAGCAGAGATGGCCTGAATTTATTTACCAAGCTGTATGGTGACCTGGAGGATCTCAAGGATACCGCCGACTTTATCTCGTCATTCCTTGAGTTAGCCATTTGAATGGCGAAAACGAAGATGAAGAATAAGAATCACTCGTAAAAGTACAAAGCCTTGTAGTAACCAAAGTTTTGAACCACTGCCGACCTTAGGGCCGGCCAAAAGGAGACATCTTGGGGTGCCGACCTGAAGGGGAGTCCGCTGGGGTCACCAATAGTCAGATGCGCTCGCCATTTATTAGAAATTTTAAAAAAACGTAAAGCCTATTAAAATAATTAATTTTAGCCTATTGATAAAGCAACTGTATTAGAAAAATATTGGATTCAACAAATTTCAAATATTACAAAATATAAAACAGCTTAAGAAATAAATAATTTCACTAGAATTATTTATTAGAACTGTTGACTTATATTTTTCTAACTTTGGTCTAAACGATTTTCAGGCACTAGGAAGTAGTTATTATATCTCCATTTTTCTCTTGATGCCCAATATTATTAATGGCAATGTCCAGATAAGTATATCTATGCTGTTTCGTTGTTAACAACTGAGCTAAATTGGTGTCAGCAACGATAAGTAATGATCAGTAATGATTGAACGTGTAGGGGTCTTCATTATCAAAGCGATCCCGAGCAATCTTTGCCATTCTTGTGACATTCATTCATGAATTACCGTGTAGGGTCCGCTTAATTTGACTTTTATCAAGAATTATAAATACAATTTTATATTGTTACACATATAATATAAAGGAATTTTTTTCTCATCCTCCAGCTATTTTATTAATTAAAAATAAAGGTATGATAAAAAATTAACAATTAAATTGGAAATCACATCAAAGATAAAAATTATACTAATCGAAAATTAATTATTTATTATAAACAACACAAACAATTTTAAAATAGTAAAAAGATAACAGAGAACAAGGACTTTTTTTTATGCTTGTCAAGTAGTGAAACAGCTGTATCTGTAGTTTTGAAACTGTTTTTTGAAAGTAGCAGAAACTGTTGTAACTGCTACTCATGATAAACCGTTTTGCCCATCACTACCCCTCCCTCCCCCTCTCCACAACTTATGAAAATCCAAAAGGTTGAGATTTTAGGACCTAAAAACAAGAAAATCTTGGTTAAGACGTTTTACGACAAAAATTGCAAAAATTTAAAATCTCATAACAATCACTGGCGGAACTGCCTATAGGAGGAGTGGAGGAATTTCGGAGTGTGGCTCCTCTACTCAGTAATTTTTTTTTTCATTGATCCATATATATATATATATATATATATATATATATATATATATATATATATATATATATATATATATATATATTATTTTTTGTTGAGTGATCTGAGTCAATTGCCATTCTCATTTATTTATTTATTTTTATCATGATTTCAAGGACAACTTAAACAGATATTAGGATTTTATCTATATAATTTTGTGAAAATTATTATTGTAAAATATCAATAATTACAATAAGGTATCTCGGAAAACTGTAGCGTTGTTCATGAGAATTATATTTGAACTATAGCATTTGAAAGATAATTAACTGAGGAATGGATTAACTCTTCCTAGGTGTTACTATAATTAATTATGGTCGATTTTTCCATTAATTAACAAAAACCATATTTAAGAGATTAAATAAGTCTATTTAAGTTGGGTTTGTGTCAATTTTTAAAGTTAAAAATTTAAATCTCCTAAAATGATTTCGGTAAATTGACGATCTGCCAGCAATTCATTGCTAAATAAAAAATTGTTATTAGACTCATGATAGAATTTCTTATTAAAATTACAGTTCTGCCTCTCCAAAGAAAGAGCCATCCATGATCTATTTTACTGGTAATAGGAAGCAACTAACAGGAACATAACAAGAATACCAGTTATATAATTTATTATTAATTTTATTTTATGAGTAATTAATATTTACACGCAAATTTTCAATATAAAAAAATCTAAACTTTCGACTTAACTAGATATTAAAGTAAATGGAGAGAATAATATGAGCTAATTATGTATTTTGAAGGGGCTGATTGTGTTGTTTGTTCCACTGGCACTTAGGTAAATAATCCATAGGCAAAGGCAGTCTAGTGCGAGCAGTCAGTAGTGAACGATGGATGTTAGTGATTGAGTAGTGAAAAAAGAGTGAACCTTGAAGTTGAAACCTTTCTGTTAATGCTGCCCTGGAATATCACAGAGTAAATAATATACTTCGCTCTCAGAAGACTTATTATCTTATTTAGTTTGTTCACACATCGATAAACAGTGCCTTTATTAAATTAAACTTAAGTTTAAGATTATAAGTTGAGTAAAATGTCATTCTGCAGATTCCTTGGATTTGGCTTAAGGCCATACTTAAATGTTTCTTCAGAATGTAGTGTTATGAAAAGATTATTTGAAGTAACTTATTAACCATTATTTTGATATCTGATGTTATTAATGGACTAATAGTATACAAGTTTTTATTTCAGGTTAAAAATGCACCTGAAGCTTCTAGTTATGTACTTCTGAAGAAGTTCAGTTCAGAAACTGAGAAAAAAACTTCCAAAAACCATGAGATTGTTTATATAGGACCTCTTACAAGACAAATCAGAAGTGTTAAGTTATTTTCTCTTCTCTCCAGTTTTACAGGAGTTTTTGCACAACCTGTTATTTATGAAAAAGCTCAAGAAATTGGAACTAGTACACCCATGCTAATTGCTGTATGTTCCTTTGTAGGATTTTTTACTTTTGTTACTCCTGTGCTTCTTCATTTTATAACAAAAAAATATGTCACATCAATAGAATACAATTCAAAGGATGACTCATACAAAGCTTCTATCTATACATTGTTTATTAGAAAAAAAGAAGTAAGTAATGTTTATTTAACTATTTCCAATCTCTGATTAATTAATAAATTTCAATAATAATTATCATTAATTGCAATGGTATCTATCCAATATTTAATTTTATAATGGTCTCCCATCCAACTTATTTTGATGTTTGTTTTTTTTTTTTAAATTAATGTTGACCTAATGATGTTTGTCATTACCATCTTTAGGTCTTTAAACAACTGTGTCAATTCTTATCTTACTAAATTTTGGAGAGGGGGTATGATTTTTATAATTTTCTTTATCATGCATTATTCAGGTGATAGGTTATTACACAATTTTGGGGTCCTAACAATTTTTATTTGATTTTTAGATTAAAATTTTCTTTTGATTCATTTTCACTGTTATTTAGATGCTAGTTTGATTAAATCTTTTTCTAATTGAAAGTAAGTCTGAGACTAAAAAAAAAATTATATCCTTGTACTTAGCAGATAACTGATTTTTACCATTTCTTTTTAGTATTATAAATTTGATATTTGTTTTCAGTTCATAATAAATTGTTTGCCTATGTGTCTAATATTTTGTATTTGTAAGAAGATTTAAAACATAAGGTTTTATTATCACTTTGGTGTGACAGATTAATTTTCTAGTTGTTATAATTTATAGCCCACTGCAATTTATCTGCCTCTTTTATAAATATTGGTACTATGGTATGGATAAGTTAATCTTTGTATGTTACTTTGTAGTCAGAGTTCACTGGCTCTAGATTATTTTGAATTATCTTATCGTGAACAAATTTAAATCTTCCTTTGGATAGATTTTTAAATCTAATCTGTTCGAGTTTTGATCTTAAAATCTTGTTTTTTTCAGTTACTAGATATTTTATATATTTTGGTGCTTCATTTATAGTTCACTGCTCATTATGATTTTCGAAGCCTTGTATATGAATATTTAATTAATTTGAATTTTAAATATTTTTTCAACTTATTTAAATTTTTAAAGAGATTAGGTTTTTAAGAAATACTGTAATAATTATTGAACTAAACCCAGTTTAATTTTGTTGCAGATTTCTTTCAAACCTGGAGAAGCTGTTGTTCCTGATGTCTTGGGAATGTTTACTTCTATGACCATTCGTGGGATTCCTCTCTTTATTGATGCTAGATTTTTTGATGATCTCCATCATTATAAGAAAATAATGGGTTATGACAAACCAATGGACTTTAAAATCAACAACACTGAAAAAAAGAATATCACAGAGTCTCATTAGTATTGATACGTGAAACGTTAGACTAGTATAAAATTAACTTTGTGTTAATTTGTAGTCAATCAGATGTAAGCTTGACATTAGAATTCTATTTTAGTCAATTTGTGGTAAAATATATGGAGCAATTTGAGCTATTTTTCATATTTTATTAGTTATTTTTGAATATATTGATTAGATAAATAAACTTTTTTTTTAGTGTATAGCTGTCATTTTTAATTTGACTGTTGCTAAGTGATTTTCACAAGGCTTCAACATGTAGCTATTTATTACTTTAAAAAGGCTGATTGGCTTTAGACATTTCTAAATCCAGCCTTTTTTTGTTTATTCTTTTAAAAGGAAATAATGTTATGTTGTAGATTTTGTATTATGATGCTTGTGTATGAAGCTAAGGAATATAATAAGATAAAAAATGAACGCGAGGTCTCAAACTTTTGAACTGGAAATCGGAGGCCTTCAGGTCGATGAAGCAGTCGCTAGTATTTTTCACTCTGTACTATTTCATCGTACACTTGGAAAATTCTCTTACAAGCAAGAAGGAAGTTATTCAGTTGGCAATGTTGGCTATGAAGACGTGGATTGTGATTTCATCGATTTCACTTATGTAAGGTGTTCTTCTGATCATTTAGATAGAACCCTGAAACGAGAAATCACAGGATTTTCAGAAGCCTTGAGAGGCAGTGATAGCCCTTGTTCTGGCCAAATTTCTTTAGAATTCTTTCAAAAAAGAAAAACAAGATGGCCATTTCAGCCAGAATGTATTCCATGGGAAGTATGGAATCTTCGTTTACAATTAATGAAAATTAATACAGAAAGTGACAGGCAAATGTGTCGAGAAAGAGTTGGTGAGTTATTGACTGAAAAAATATTGTATATTGCTGAAGTGATGAACAGACATGACTATGTCCCAAAAATGCCAAGTCATTCAGAAGTTGATCTCATCTTCGATACATCGTATCCAGATATCCAACCTTACTTATTTAAGTTATACTTTGCCATTGCTGGACCTTCCACATTGTCTGTTGGTCGGACTATGAAAAAGATAATTAAAGAAACTCTTTCTATTTAGAAACTTAATTTTATGGGATGTATATAAAAGTTCATTATTTTTTAATATTACAATAGATATCACATGAAAAATTGTGAAATCATAAGAATTTTTGTATGACATTTAGTTGTCAGTGTATTTAGGCCTCTCCAAATTAAGCATATTCATTTCTTCATGTTTATTTTGCTCAATTATTGGACATGGTATCAATACTTAAAAAATTGATTTCAAATTAGAAAGTTGATTATAAATTATTTTATTTGATTAGTTAAATTCATTAGCTATCAAATATTTAGTAACATGCCAAACTTTTAAGATATGATTACTTTATAAGTTTGTTACTTTTTTGTAAATAATAATTTTATCAGCATAAAATAAATATTTTATTCTATTTTAGTTCATAAAATTCTAGTTTCTAAGTGTAAATATTTTTCTAAGGTTATAAGATTCATAAGTTTTAGTCTTATTCAAAGTATTTGTATGTGAATAACTAATGTTGATAACAAAGTAAATTGTACATGATTAAGTATGGCTTTTTTGGAATAGGTTGTTGATCATTTTTATTTGTCCATTTAAATCATACCTTTGATGTGAAATTTAATGAATGCTTAGGTAAATTTAAAATATGTCTAATTATTTGCTATTTAAAGTAAGAAAGAAAACAATAAAGCTAACCAGCACTTGTTTATCATTTCCGGGCAATCATAACAAAACTTGGCCCCTCATAGCCTGGGACCAAGTTCTGTTTTCTTTAATTTTCATATTCCGTTAAATATATTTTTTCTTATGACTTGATTTAATATTTCTTTCTTCATTTTAATAATTTTACTTGAGCAGATTAATTTCAAAACCTGCTCAATCCACTTTTTTTCTTTTTTTTTTATAAAATGTGTGTAAAATTTATAACAAACAAAAAATCAGATAAAGAGTGATATTGGCCAAAAGCATCTCAATCCACTGTAAGAATGGGCTCAAAATTATGGAGTCAGTTGGTCAAGTAGAGGACTCTCGTTTGTTTGGTTTTGTCCAGTAAAATATTTTAAAATGAGCTGATTTTGAAACTAATCATCTCACTTACTGTTTCTATGAAAAGTCAATCCTCTTTGGTTTAGATTTTGCACTCATTGGTTGAAAAATATTCACCATGGGTTTTGTAGTTTTTTAGAAAATAAATATGGTGTATTGTTTAGTTATGTGTTTATCTCCTAAAATTGAAAACAAATACAGTCGAAACTCTTTATCAAACACGAAGATCCCTTGAAATAAATTTTTTATATAAGAACAATGCAATTTTTATACCAATCTTACTAGAACAATTCAAAATTTTTTAGGAATAAAAAGGTCCAAAATGTAATTTTTAAAGTTATTAAATACATTAATTTTCCGTCCGTACTGCTCATTACTACCTATTTTTTTACTGACGTTATAATTTTATTCAGCTTTTTGTATATATTAATGAATCAAAACTTTCTTAATGCTTTTCTTTCACAGGCATGCCCACAACAATAAAATCAAATTTAAAATAAAAAGTTCTCTTTATGTTAGGACTGAGATTTCGAGAATTTCGTACCGCAAATGTTTTTTCTTAAACAAGGTGTTCCCTGAATATCAATTTTTTCATATATAATAATCACCCATTTTTTTTAGAAATCCAAACTATGAGTCCTTTACGTTGAAAATTACATTTTTTTTTACTTTTTGTTCAAAATATATAGAAATTTTATTCTATATTTTTTTTCCTTAGAAAAATCAAGGTTCTAAAAAAAAGTGTTTGATCCAGAGGTTCTACTGTGTATATATTCTTTCTAGTATTTTTTCCAATTTTATTATCTCTAATCTATGGTTTTTATTTTTATTTTATTGTTTATGAATAAAAAAAATTTCAGTTAAAATTATCTCGATGATTGTCGTGTATTTCTGTAAATTTGTAGATGTAATTAGTGACTAGTGTGGTTTCTTTTTGACGATCTGACTTTTTTCTTGAAAAAAATGTTCAATATTTTGTAATAAATAATGTAATGGTAATAAAAAATTACCTGTGTTATATTAAATCATTTCATATAATTATTACATTACAATTAATTTTTTTTCTCAATTTATTTTATATTGTGTTTTTTAATAAATAAACAGCTTACAAAACCAAGTATTTGACTGATGTGTCATTAAATTGAAAATATCCTCAACTGTGTTACAATATGGTAATTTATTGATTCCGAGTGGTGGTGATTACTGACGAGTAATATTTTAAGATTTAGTGAACATTTAAATATGAAAAGTGATATTTTTAGTGAATTATAAACATTTAGCGTGTGAAAATATGAAGATTATTCATGAATAATCAAATAGAGATATTCAGTTATATTACTTGTACAGATTGCTGTACTAATTTAGTTGATGAATATTTATCTAGCTTTGGTTATATTTTTATTTTTGATAAATATGATTTTCAAATTTATGAAAAAGATATTTTAAATTAATTAATATTTTTACTTTAAAAAATATTTGTAATATGCACTTAACGGTTCCTTTTGTATTTTGGTAATATTTGACTGTGTAAGTAGTATCTTGTTTGCTCGTTCGAATTCGTCTTTTCTGATTAATTTTATTTATTTCAACTGTGAATTATATTTTTTCCATTGTACTTAATATTAAAGTCCTTAATAGAATTGCATATACATCAGTGTAAATACGTTTGTTGTAGAAAATATTTATATCATAAATTGCAGTTATTTTTTTTTTTTAATTTGTTGTATATTTTATTTTATTTTTTCATGTAGATATATTCGATAAACTAGTTATGATTAATACTGATTTTAAAAATATTAAACCAATTATTTTCTTAGAAAATAATGTAAGATGAATATATATTTAGATACATTAGTTTAACGAGAGACTATTGATGTTTGTTAAGTGGTTGTCTGTGGTATAATATTTTTATGTATCTTACCGTGATTTTTAATATTTGCATGAAAGAACTGTATGAGTATTGAGTGTTTTGCTTAATTTTGTTGAAAGAGAGATTTTTTGGACATCTATTCTCTAAAAATTATTAATATCCTGTAAAATTTGAAACGTCTGTTTAATAATTTTATCTAGAAAAACTAATCATAATTTTTATTTTATTTTAAACGATCCCTTGCCTTTTTAATACTTAATAAAGTAATGTGGTAATCCTGATGCTATTATTTTCAAGTCCCTGAAAACCAGAATAATATCTTATACATGCTGTTTTATAGAGTTAATATCATTTGCAGTTAAGCTGTGTTCATTTTTTTATGCTGTATTAGACTCCTTAAAAAAAAGGATTATTAAAAAGAAATATCAAAACATTATTTTTTTCAATTTACTAATTTCTACTGTTAAAAAGCATAATTCTAAATTTGATTGGGAATAGAGATGATGTTTAATGAAGGAGAGATTACAAAATCATCATATTTTAAAAACAATAATTGATCAATATATATTCATTTGGTATTCACACATTTACTGATAACATTATGTACAGGGGATCAAAAAAGTATTAGCACACTTAACGTTTTTCAGGTTTCATTGTAAAAGAATCGAAAATTAATTTGCTAAACATTTTTATTTGATAAAAGATTTAGAAAAATACATAATTGAGCCAACAAAATTTAAACTTATTTAATTCAAAAAGTCAGCAAACAAAAAATCACATTAACTCCTTCAAAAAGGTTTATTTCAGGAACTGAAAATCATTTAAATATTAATATTTTGTCATACCATTGGCATCTATGACATGGAATCTTGGTATCCACAAGACAAAATTTTGAGTTAGTAGTCTGTGGGCTATATAATATTATAATACCAATTCAAAAGAAAGGATGTCAGGCAGAATGCTCTAGCTACAGACCCATATGCCTCTCGCCAGTTGCGTACAAACTATATATATCCATATTGGTGGGTCACTTAAGACCACTAGTTGAGCACCTAATAGGGGAAGAGCAGGTTTGGTTCAGAGCCGGGTGCCAAACCCATGACCACATTTTCTCACTAAGAAATATCTTACAGAAATCCTGGGACCTTGATAAAAATATGTACCTGGCTTTCCTTGACCTCAAATCTGCCTTTGACTCGGTTCGATGGGATGAAATTTGGGAAGCTCTCAGATCAAAGAATGTTCCCAGAATTCTGACAGAGGCGATAAAATATATATATCAAGAGCCCAAAGGAATAGTCAGGCTGAACGGGCTAGAATCGGGTTGTTTAAATATTGCAAAGGGGATGAAACAAGGAGATAGCCTAAGCCCATTGTTTTTCTTGTTATTCATGGATGAAGTGGCATCTATCTGTAAGAGAACAACGGACAGGACATTCCTGGGATGAAGGAATCTTAATCCTGTAGCGATACAACTTCTCTACGCCGACGACGTGGTATTGATTACGGACTCAGTGGAAAAGTTGCAATTGGCAGTTATATAATGGTAAGGAGAACTCCAACGAAAAAGGATGCTTATAAATACCAACAAAAGTAAGATCCTACAAGTCGGAAGAAAGAAGGAAGATATCCACATACACTGTAATGGAGAAGAATTAGAAGAGGTGACAGACTTCACATACCTGGGTACAATGTTAGACGGATCTGGGAAGGTAGACGCGGAAATATCAAACAGGATTAAGAAGGCAAATACAGTTTAGTACCAGTATGTAACACTGTAGTAGGGAAGAGAGAAGTAGGCAAAGACGTCAAGCTACTCATCTTCAAGAAGGTGTGTCTACCTATACTTTTGTATGGAGCGGAGAGCTGAATACTAACAGACCGACAGGAGAGCAGAATCACCACTGCCGAAATGAAATTTCTGCGAAGGACGGTTGGGAAAACAAGGAGAGACCGAGTTCGCAATTATAGTATTCGTCAGTAACTGATAAGAGCTCCTAGAAACTCGTCAGCTAAAGTGCTTCGGCCATGTTATCAGAATGGACTACCACAGAGATCCTCTAAATTCCATGGAATATGTCCCAGATGGCAGAAGACCTAACTCCCCCCCCCCCTAGAATGTCCTATCTCGACTATATTGAGCGACTCTGTAGGGCGAGGGAGAAGGACCTCCGACAGGCGAGGAACCTAGCTAGAAATAGGGAAGACTGGAATTCCTGGCTGAATGCTTCTCTACGCTGAAAGGCACTAAAGAGGAAAGCTAAAGAATAAGAAGTCTGTGGGCCAGACGCTCCTTTATTCGTTCAGTCATATAATGGATACTGATCCTTGTTTTCTTATCCAAGATTTTGGCACTTCCTTTCTCGTTCGCTTAATGTATTTTGCCAATT